GCATCCATGTGGCCTTGATAGCGTCCCAGAAAGCGTATACAATAGCGTATACTCGAATCTCTTGTACGGAGGAGGACTTCGGGGATGTAGTCGGAGAATGTCACTTTGCAGGCGATCCACCGACTCCGTAACATCCGTCCATAGCGACCATACTTCTCTTCTCCTTTGAGTAGAACAATAGGAGGCACAGCAAATAGCGCGCTCCACACTCCATACGCGTAGGTAGCACCCCGAAGTTGACGAAGTTCGTTTGCCTGAAGTACGTCTCGGTATAACGACGCACAGTCGCTCCAGGTATCGCAGTTCAACTCGATCACACGCCACACTTGGACCAAGAACTCCCAGGTAACTTTACGTAGAGGAGTCGTTAGGACCCAGACCGTTACAGCCCCTACGTACACGGGCCACAGCTCCCAGTGGGCGTACTCGTAGAAGACACTAGTATGAGGCTCCATTTAGAGGAGAGTACACTCGGCAAATAAGAAACTGAGTACACCCCTGGCGACCCTTCTCGACGTCATTCGACCTCCATCCGTCTTAGTCGCCACCCATCTGTCAAGTCCAGTAGCTGGGAAAGGAGAACACCGATTCCTCGTCCTTTTCAGGAGTCTCTCTTGCACCCAATATACAGTTATCACAGGGACCTCGAGAGAGAGACAGGGCCAGGGTCCAGGTACCGACGGGCAGCCTTCCTGCTCATTTGGCAATTTGGCCCCGACTACAGACGCAACCCTCGGCGCCCTCTCTCCTCACCACCTCAGTATGGGCACCACGCGTGGAACGGCAACGCGTCGACTTAAGGCCGTCTGGAACGTGGAGTCTTCGGACTCCGACAATTCTTGTTCAGATGACACTCCGGCCGACGAGCGCTTCTGGATCCTCATGCGAGACGTCCTGGCCGTAAACGCTAGCTCCATCGGCCTCGAGCTTCTGGACGACATCGCCGCCGCGATCTTGGACGACACGGGGAAGGCTTCGGACGCTCTGACGGGGCCGGTAGTTATCATGCCCAGGCCGCCTCGGCAACCGACTCGCGGGAAGCCGCCTCGGCACCCCCGCTTCACACAAGATGGTCGGTTTCGGCTCAAGAGCATCAGCACTGGCTCGACTAAGAAGAAGACGGTCACGGAGAGTCCTCGTTCCGGCAAGAAGCGTCCGAGTCACCCGTGGTCTTCGTTCGCGTTACCATTCAAGCTGTCGGACACGACTCCTTCTCCCGTGGTTGATGATCTGAAACGGGTTTACTACGAGGCGGCCGAGCTAGGCCAGGAACCGTACCAGCTGGCGTATCCGTGGCCGGGCTCGCACTTGTGGTACAACCCGCAAGAGTACCCGCATGTGCACGCTTCTCACTGGCGCTTCTGGAACGAGAACCGTTCCAAGTTCTGGGATTGGCAGGCGAACGTCCCGTGGAGGACCTCCAACGCGCAGACTCAGCGGCGCAAGGCTAAGATGGCGGCAGTAGTCGCACGCGTCTGGTTCCTGAGCATTTGTATCGAGACCTGGGGCTACTTCGGCTTTCTTCGTCTATTCGAGAGCTGCGCGCACCGTCGTCGCCTTATGTGGATGGGAGGACAGCCTGGTCGGAACGCCCCAGACGCCAAGTCCTACAATGGCCCCGTCATCGACAACTTGTCTAAGCTGTACTCGCGCGACTCAGGAGCGTATTCGCGAAAAGTGAAGAACGCTCTCAAGCCGTTCCGGATCGACGAGGGAGGTTTCACGACCATCCCGGAGCATACCGGAGCCCTGGACCCAAATAGCTCGAAGCCCGACAGTCAGCTCACGGACCGGGCGTTGGCCCTCGTTCTTCTGGACATTAAGTCGAAGGAGGATCATGAACCTCATTGGGTAGGGGATCGTTCGAAGGGAGTCTGGTATGCACTTAGTCACTGCTCGCGTCTTCAGAAGATGACTGCCAAGCTTTCGCGCGAACGGGAGAAAGGAGCTCTTCGAACACCCAAGGTAACCCCTTACGATTTAGATGCGTCTGAAGCTGACTCGGCGGGATACGCGGCGTATGAGCGTACGGACGGCACTTACACGGCGATTTGGGAGGAAGCGAGTGAGGAAGAGTCGGCTTACGAGGAGGATGAAGCCGAGAGCGACTCTGAAGAACTCCGTCCTGTTAAGAAGCCGCTGCGCCTTTCTTCTAGTTCCGACGAAAGTTCGGAGGACGACGAGCCGGTCCTCAAGCGTCTACAGCTCTCTCACAAGTCTCGGAGGGCGAAAGAGCGCGCGAAGCGTTCCCGTTCCCCGTCTCGCGGTTCTACCTCCCTGAAGAAGCCTCGATTAAGTTCGTCGCGCAAGCGGTCCTCTTCATCTTCACGCGCTAAAGACAAACTCAAAGCGCGCGCTGCTTCCGCCAGAACGTTCTGTTTCCCCTTTACGGTCACGATCGAAGTCCCCAGTGCGCAAGAAGTCCCGTCGGTCACGTTCTGAGGAGCGTCCGGCGTCTCGGTCGATGTCTCCGACGAAGTCCTCAGCCACCAAGGCGAGTAGGGAATCCCGGCGGACAAAGCAAGATCACCTTCGCACGCGAAGGGGAGTAAAGACACTTCTGACAAACCGACCGACGGCAAAACGCCGACTCCTCCGTCTGCTCCAGCGTCGCGGGACGGCACGCGTAAGCGGTCGCGTTCGGTGTCTTCCTTGAAGAAGGCAGTGCCCCGTAAGGGACGCTCGGCCTCGCGGTCCCCGTCAGCACCTCGGAAGTCGAGTTCGCCGGGTGAGCATTCTGCCCCTAGTTCGCCGGCTAAAAGGTCCGACAAAACAGCCTAACGAGCGGGCGTCGAGAAGCTAGTGATTCGTACCATTCCAGAACCGTTCCTCACTGGATGAGAGTAAGAGTACTGGCATTGTCTTCCTTTTTAAGTTTCTTTTTGTTTTTCACCACGATTCGTCCCCACTTGTTGTTTTCGTTTATCCTCTTGAGATCGCGGTAAACTTGTTTTTCTTTTTGGTATGTAGGAGATCAGCAACTTGTGAAGTAGAATTCAAAAATATACAAAGTCGTAAGAAGTGTTCTTCAGGACACTTTCGAGGGAGGCGGGGTCGTGAGTTTACTCTGGCTCATTGGGTCGACCCGCCACGATTCCCCCTCCCTAGAAGAGTAGCTCTTCTTCTTCAACGGCGGCGTTAGCGTCTTCCAACCGCGCGCTGCGACGTAGTTCTGGTAGGTCTCCCTCCCGACGACGGGTTTCTTCGAGCGCCTTGATCAGAGCAGCGTAGGCGGGCAATAGAGTGTTTCGTGGTCTCCAAAGAGTCTCGTAGGTAGCCAACAACACCAGAAACTGCTCTTCACGGTTCTTTTTGCGTCGGGCGATTATGTCGATCACAGAGTTAGGAACTCCGGTCAGGGCCGTCTCTTCCCCTCCAATCTGGAGTCTCTCTACGAAGCTAGTAGAGGGGAGGTCTTCTTCAGATAGAGGTCCGTCGTCGTCTACACCCGGACTCGACTGGACTCCCTCGGGTACTTCAGACGGGAACGGTCGGCTCCACCGCCCTTGAAAACGTTTCAACCTATTGACGTTAATGGTCACGACCCGGTTGGGGTGTGAAGGGATGGCTACTTGATAGGAGTTCTCTCCCACGATCCCGACCACACGGTACGGACCATGCCACGCGAAAGCGAGTTTCTTCGTGGTCTTTTCCCCGCGACGAGCTCGGAAGTACTGGTAGACCCACACCGGGTCTCCCTCCTTGAACTGAACCGGCACTTGGTTGCTCAGTCGTTGCTCGTGTCTGCCCTGGGCCTTCAAGAGTTGGCGCTCTACCAATCGTCTCGTATCTCGTAGAGATAAGAATAGCTTTCGTCTGTAGCTAGCGACTTCGTTACTCTTCCATCCGTTGTTCGTGTTGAGAAACGCGAGGTCCAGAGGTAACACCGGGTCTTGGCCATACAGGCTGAAGAATGGTGAGTCCTTAAGGGCCTCGTGATACGACGAACTGTATGCGAACAGTACTCGGGGAAGATATAAGTCCCAGTCGTTCTGAGCTTCGTTGACATACATCTTAAGCATCCCGATCAGCGTGCCGTTGAAGCGTTCGACTAGCCCCTGAGTCTGAGGATGGTAAGCAGCTCCAAACAACTT